TCTGTTTCTCTTTAGACCGTTATAGACAATCCTTTGTTGCTTCAATGATTTGTCAACGATATATAAACTTGACCATACCATCGTTTCTTTAGACCAAAGTTTATAGTTTTGGGAGGTTAAAAAAATATGTCTATAACCAACACTTTCCTGTCCGCGAGATTTTTATAGAGCTGTTTTTTTGGAAATAGTAGAATTAAAATCTTGATAAAATGTAATATGTACGTAGTTGTGACCTTAAATAATCGACAGCTCGCATTCTTTTGACGTAAACATCTTTTGTCCAAAACTGTTCATTAATTTCGGAGTGACCCTAGTATTGTTAACTTTTTCAACGACATTATTCAGAAGTAATGAAATTTATAGTGTTTATGTCTGGAAATGTGAATAGCGTATGTTGATATTACAAACTTGGACCTAGTTTACAGTTTACTTTATTCTTTTATTACAAGAAGCTACTGAACTAAATTGTTGATGCCAAGTTTAGTGTCTGTTAAGTACTTTAAACTTTATTTTTAGATATCTTATGTAGTTACTCGTTCCAAAAAAAAAAATATTCTTAAAACTAATTTTCCTTTTTTATTCAAATACGCCATTAAATTTCATTGTGACGTTTCATTTTCAGATGAAGTTGATAAAGATCAAGAGCGTGTTGCGAATAAAATAGTAAGTACTCAGAAGATTCAGACTCAAACATGAACTCTGAAGTTCTTCCCACAACCAAATTTTCAAAATAATTTTTTTTTTGAGCTCGTTCTTTTACGTTACTTTGTTGGAGAAAAAACGCTTTAAATTTCTTTTTGCTTTTCTAAAGAAATTACTATATTTTATTAACTATTTGTGTTTGAGCTCGACTAATTTGATGTTCGAGAACATTCCGACCTGGAATATATCAAATTTTGTTAAAATGTGTTAATTTAATAATAATCATTGAGTATTATTCCAGAAAAATGTATATGAAAAGATATTTTCTAAAATGTTTTTATTTTAAGTTTCTTAAATATTTCAATATTCCCACTTTTTGCTTTGGAAAGAAGTGATTTTTTTGTATTTTTTCAAATTGTTAAATCTCTATCCACAACCATTCATAAGTTAACTTATAAATAACGAATTTAAAAAAAAATGAACTTACATTAAAATTAAAATTGTAAAAGTTTTAAAAAAAAGACGAGTTTGCCTTTGTAAAACACATCATCAAATTAATTAGATCTCGATATCTCCTCGGAAAATTATTATTCATTTAAATTGTGCAACTTTACCCTTTACCCCCTGCATTTGTTAGGGTTTTAGAAATTTTTTAAAAATAATGGCATTTAGAGATAGCTAAATTAATTTGTATGTAATATTGCATTGGCATGATTACTAAAATCACACAAAAAAACTTTAGTCATCAAAACACAATATTTTTTAAAATCTCCGAATGAGTTTATACAACGGCAATTTTATAAATGTTTTGGAGTTGCACGAGGGCGTCATTATGGCATGCATTTTAGATCGGGAGATATTAGACTGAAGTTCGACGACGTCTTTCTCGTTTATGCCTCTGAGAGTACTGAAAGGTAACCGAGAGACAAGTATAATAAACTAAATTTAAAAGATGGACTGCGGGACACCTTAATGGAAAACTTTGTAAGAAAATGTGAAAAACATCTTTATTTGTCTACCAATTTCTCATTAATGCCAATTAGAAATTTGACATTATTATATTCGAAAAGCTCATAAAAATATTGGCATAAGTCCTACTAAGGACTAAAGCAAATAGAGCTTTGGAAAAGCTGCGGAAAATTTTTATTTTCATTTTATAACTTTCTCATTTATGCCGTTGAAAATTTATCATACTTACTATAAATAATGTACTGTGTCAAGTAGGCATAACTCCTCTATGGGTCCAATATGAAGGCATAAGTCCCAAAGTTGTAGGAAAATTCATGAGAATTTTTACGTCTTTCTCGCTTATGCCATTTTGCATGCACTTAGGAAACTGCATTATAAAGTCATATAAATGTAGGCATAAGTCCACATTGGATTTTCATTAATTTTTTCATTAAGTAAATTATTTTGAATTTTAATACGAGTCAGGTCAACAAAGTAGAAAAATAATAGAAAATTGTCACAATTTTCTCGTTTATGCCGTTTCGTACACGAGTAGAAAATATTATTAAAAGCCACTTTCAAGAGTGGCATGAATGTCACGTCGTATGTAAAATTTTTTTAAAAGTTTTCAAAAATTAAAAATTGCGGTTATTTCCTCGCCTTCGCAATTTTCGATATACTTAAATTAATCTAAAAAATGTATCATAAATAATGCAACTGTCGGAGAAGATATATATATATATATAAAATGAATATTTCTAACTATAAAAAGGAATAAAAAATTTAAAATATATATATAAAATGAATATTTCTAACTATAAAAAGGAATAAAAAATTTAAAATAAAAAAAAATATATTTTCGTTCATCAAGAGCTGAAGATAAAATTGTTTGAAATTTGAAAATGTGAAAAATCATAAAACCGAAAAAACTCATATTTTTGATATGCTTTAATTTTAAGTTGATAAAAATCTGTTTTACTTTAAGTGTTATTGTCTGTGTTAATTATATTTAAAAATTAGTAATTCAAAGTTTTTGAGGAAGCATTAGTATATTATTAGCGACAGTACAAGACTAAACCGATTGTCATGAAAATTTTTTTTGCAAGTTTGTTATACCTTGTAAAATGACCTATGGGTGCGATAAATGTAATTTGTGACCTTTTGACCTTGATAAAATTCGAATTCGTGGGACACCCAACCTGTTGTGCTTAAAATACGTTTTTAAAATAACTTCACAGACATTTTGGACCATACAATGCTCACGGAAAATTATTCAAAGTTTTTTTCTGAGTTCTTATTATCTTTGTGACTTCAAGCCATATCACAAAGGTCATTTTAAGGTCAAAGGCGTATTTTGTAGGTTAAATACTGTATATTCATAAGATAAGGTTTGAATTCATCAAAAATTATTATGAAACGATATCAGCCAGCTGCGACTCTACGTTCATACCTCAACATAACCTCCATGCTTCAAGGTCATTTGAATGTCAAAAGCCTATTTTACACGTTAAATGCTTTATATTCGTAGGATAAAACTAAAAAATTATAAGGAAACGATATGATATACCCGACCACCAAAGGCAAGGATGATATACCCGATCAGTTAAAGCAAGGATGATATACCGTACCAATGAAGGCAAGGATATTTGAACAATTTTTCGTGAACATTGTATGGTCCAAAATGTCTGTGAGGTTATTTTAAGAACGTATTTTATGCATGCACAACAGGCTGGGTGTCCCACGAATTCGAATTTTATCAAGGTCAAAAGGTCACAAATTAAATTTATCGCACCCATAGGTCATTTTTCAAGGTATAAGAAACATGTAAAAAAATGTTCATGAAGATCGGTTTAGTATTGTACTGTCGATGTCGGCAGAATTTTGTCCAAATGAGCACACTCTGCGGCAGGGGGGCAATGAACAAGCATCAAAATTCAATAATTGTTTTTTGAAGTGTTCATTTACTTCCACCGTGCCGTAGGTTTTTATAAATAACTGAAGTCGTGCTTCATCTACATATTGAAAGTGGTTTAATCAATTTTTTTTGTTGAGTACATTTGGCAAACGAATTTTTCAATATCTTTAAATGCGTTACTGCAAAGAAAAAATTGTTTATTAAGAATTAAATTACATTAAACGCATGAATTACTTATATTTACAAAATTAAAAATACGCTAAATGCAAGTAAGTAGAAGTATGTCGAAAATTGCGCAGGCGATGAAATAAACTTTTTAAAAAATTTTACATACGACGGTACCTTGTGGTATTCATGCCACTCTTGAAAATGGCTTTTAATAATATTTTCTAATCGTGTACGAAACGACATAAACGAGAAAATTGTGGCAATTTTCTATTATTTTTCAACTTTGTCGACCTGACTCGTATTAAAATTCAAAATAATTTACAACATGAAAATCCAATGTGGACTTATGCCTACATTTATATTACTTTATAATGTAGTTTTCTACGTACATGCAAAATGGCATAAGCGAGAAAGACGTAACAATTTTCATGAATTTTCCTACAACTTTTCAAAAATTTTTTAGCATATAGTCCTCACCAAGGACTTATGCCCTTTAAAAAAATGAATACTTTCACTTTTTTCTTTGCAATAAGCTATAATTTATTCATGAGAAAAACGTTGACCAAAACGAAAAATTTTCCGCAGCTTTTCCAAAGTCCTATTTTCTTTAGTCCTTAGTAGGACTTATGCCAATGTTTTTTATGAGCTTTTCGAATATAATAATGTCATATATCTAATTGGCATTAATGAGAAATTGGTAGACAAATAAAGATTTTTTTTCACATTTTCTTACAAAGTTTTCCATTTTTAGGTCCCTTGCGACACTTATGCCAAAAAAATGTTATGATAAAATCGATACTTCTCTTCAACTTATGAACATGACATAAGTGAGAAATACGTCGCTGTATATATTATTTTTTTGAAAAGGAAAATTGAATTTTCACAAAGGTGTCCCGCAGCCCATCTTTTAAATTTAGTTTATTGTACTTGTCTCTCGGTTACCTTTCAGTACTCTCAGAGGCATAAACGAGAAAGACGTCATCGAACTTCAGTCTAATATCTCCCGGTCTATTTTCAATTACCCTCTTCAATATTAATATTTTATCTTCAGTAAAACATAGCTTTTAATTATTTCTGATAGAGAGACACATAATTCTGTTATTGAAAGGTTGCATATAAAAATATAAGAATTATGACCAAAAAAATTAAATTGCTACATATTCTATACAAAGAACGCATAAATTAAAATGGAAGTCTGTACCATTTTCACAGTTATCTTAAAATTGCACCATTTACTTACAAGTTTCAAGTTGTTACGTATAAGTTTAAGAGTACAGTTTAATAATTTATATAAATTTATTTTAAAAATTATAATTAAGATACTCACCTCAAAGGTTAGCTCGTGGCTGCTCTTTGAATATTTTAAAATTTACTGCTTCTCCACTGGGTTTCTCCTCAAAGAGCCATATTTTGTACTCGAAGTTAATCAGACATTTAATTTGTGAACTCCTCTAACCTCTAGCAAACAAAAATCTTCAATATCGCATACATAAAATTATCTTAATTGTCTGATTGCCACTTAATGACCCACCAATAGGAAACCCCCAATGTGATTGTTGTGAAAGCCAATTCGTGTTTGAATTATTTTGATATTATCATCTCAAAAATGTGCGGCGATTTAATCTGGACTAATTATACTAATATTTAGGTTTTTGTCATAATGAATTTGGTTATTTTATTATTACAGTACAATGTAGATACTTCCAAGTTTAAAAAGATACCTCCAAGTTTAAAAAGGTCATTTTTTCTTTATTACATGCACGGTTTGATTAAAAATATAAGCAAGGCAAGTAACTTTAAAATGAAATAATGAAACTTTACACGTGAGTCGTACGTTTTATCTTCGATGGTGCAATTCTCATAAAAAATTATTATTATTATTATTATTATTATTATTATTATTATTATTATTATTATTATTATTATTATTATTATTATTATTATTATTATTATTATTAATAATAATTTCGATTAAAAATTATGATGTAAGAGTTTCGAGATCCTTCCTCAGTGATTCTACTGACAGCACACGCGAAAATATGAACTTTAATAGCTGAGAACATATAATTTGTGTACAAACAGTTCAACGATTGGTGTGTTTCGAAAACAGCGGATTATCTTATGGAAAATATGTTCCCTGCTTAATATTCAGAAAGTGTAAGGCATATAAACCACCGAATATTGGTCGGAATATTCCACAGTGATAGCTGAAAAAGATATCGATTTTAAACAATTTTCTAAGATATATTACGTCTGTAGAATACCGTACTAAAAAATCAAAGGGGCATTTGCCTATTTTTCTTCACCTAACTTTTCACATGGAACTTACCATGTAATATATACAGAGTGTACCATTGAAAACTTTGCACCCGGCTTATTTTGAACTACGTTCCAAAATATTAAAATTGCCGCGACACGTCCATTTTGTTTTCGAGGAGGACACATTTTTTTATAGTTTTCCCTTTGGCATTTTAAACAATTAATTAAATGATTAATATAAAATTATCTTTTATTTCCAAGCATAAGTATTTTTTTTTTTTCAACAACAGATGAACTAAAATTGAAAAAATTACATGATGACAACCAGAATTAAAAACACTTTCGAATGAGGTGTCACTCGACCTAGAGTACCATTTAAGATTCTAAAGATGAATGCGCTCCCGCGAAGGGGGTTGTTCTGCCGAGTCTGTATTTAACGCTAAAATGTGTCCCCTCGAAAACAAAATGGACGTGTCGCAGCAATTTTAATATTTTGGAACGTAGTTCAAAATAAGCCTGGTGCAAAGTTTTCAATGGTACACCCTGTATATAGTTATTGTACGTAATAGTAAGTACCAGCTAAAGTTAACAAAATAATAATTTCTTACTCATAAGGCAACCGATTGTAGAAGATAATGAGTAATCCTAAGTGTACTGCGGTTAATCGTCTCCGGCGATCGGTTGATACCTATTTTAAAAACAAATATGACCGTTCAACATTTACCGAGATCACAGGCGCATATCTAAAATTGTCGAATATTTAATAGATGCTATTTTTACTAATGGTGGCGAAGCGTCAACTATTTCACATTTTAGTAAGCTCACTATCTGCGTCATTGTATGTACAATAACATGTACATATCTGATCTGAAGCTTCGCATCGATCAATTTATTCGATATGTATCTAGCGCACCCTAATGCCTTCCCTGTCGGTCTGGTGTGCCAGTGAACTATCCAGGTTTTTTGCTGAGGGAGGTTGGACGTGCATTGTCGTTTGTGCGTGTGTGTTTGACTTGGTCGAGTGTATGGCACATGTTTTTTTTTTTGGCAGTCAGTAGCGTTATGTATTATGAGCATAGAATGGCAGACGTCTTGACCGTAAATTTCGCCTATTTCTGCTACTACAACGCGTATTGATGCTTACTAGCATAATATAGATTACTACTGTTTATTTATTTGATAGTCTCCACAAAGTTTTCGATGTCTAATGATGAAGTAACTGGAGTGTTAGAAATAAATAAAATATTAATATTCTGCAAGAAATCACGCAAGAAAAACTTTTATTACACAGGCTCAAATTAAAGTTAACTTTTTACACTGGAAATTATGTAAAAGCTAATATTTTTAATACGATCGCAGATGAAAATCTTTTTGGTTACGGATCTCTGACAATTCCAAATTTGATTTTTGCATATGCATCTATGCCACGTAAACATGGCGGGAAAAGTATAGACAAAATTGTGCCTTTTTAATAATATTTCCTATCATTTTTTTTTTCTAATTTGGTCTTAAAATTAATTTAAGTAAAAACCTTCGTTACATATGCCATAGATATGAAACGAATATTTTGAAAAATGCGAAAATATATACAGAATGCAGGAAGATAATGAATCACTTAATGGTAACTTCTTGACCTGCCTTGTTGTTCTCGAACTAGGCTCTGTGGTGCCGGCCCGCTACTAGAATAACTACGAACGCTCGTAACCTTTTCTAGACAATGGTGGTTTTCCAAGACGTTCCGTTGTGGCCTCTGTAACTGGTCTCATCCAATGTTTCCAAACGTTTTGCCGTTCTTCACGGCCGTCATCCTCAGTGCAAAAGTTTCGCCGCGACTAAGTACAGGTCATAACAACCCGAAAAAAACATTGTACTTTAAATATCAGCACAGGTCGTAAAAGTCATAAAAAACAATATAGATGCATATAACCAATAATATATTATTTACAATATAATTACCTATTTATTATTAATTTTAACAAAAGAGTAAAGTTTAATTTCATTAGAATATCTTCACACATAAAATTAAAAAAAAAAAGAGAGAGAAAGTGAAATTCATAAAATATCAAACTTCACATTTTATTATGAATTGTAGTTTTCCCGATGTTTATATATTTCATTGGTTATGCAGTTATTATACAGAGTGATTCACAAACGGTGACCAAAAATAAAAGCTCGTATTCTTTGATGAATTTTAAGGGGTTCAGCCACGAAATTTTAATAATTCCAAATATTTCGTATTTTCACCATCAAGAACGACGGTGACAAAATTTTTAACATTAAAGCGATGTTTCGCATGGTATTAGCTATGTTCTGTACAAATTTAGTTTCGTGCAACTTTCTCGGTTTCAAAAATACAATACCTTTGTATGTTTTCAGCCACGAAATTTGAATAATTCCAAATATTTCGTATTTTCACCATCAAGAACGACGGTGACAACATTTTTAACATTAAAGCGATGTTTCGCATCGTATTAGCTATGTCCTGTACAAATTTAGTTTCTTGCAACTCTCTCAGTCTTTCGTATTATAAAGTTTTTATCTAGGACCTTTTGTTAAAAAGATACAGGGTGTCAAATTTAAAAAAATAATTTAAAAACTAGTAAGTGAAATAATTTGTAATGAGGCACATGTAATTATGTAAACATTGTCCAAAATCTGAGGCCGTTCCTAAAATTTAGATGCTCCAGTGGCGGAGATACAAGGTGTCGGTAGCATATTTTTTTAATAAAATAGTATGCCACCGCTTTACAGTAACAATCATGATATTCGCGGATTCGTCTTTCGATTTTCTACAAATTACTACTCTCTTATGTTTTTTGAAAAAAGCTTGATTTTCGAGTAAAACGTGAAAAAGGGACTGAAAACACACTTCGATATTCGAATAAAATGCGATTTAAAATTGCATAATAGGCTGCGATAAAAACTTTAACATTCTAGAAGTTAGAAAAAAGAATAAATAATACCTTTCATCAGATTCAATCAATTTCGGACAAATAACATTTTCGTTACTAAAAAGATGTCGCTGTGTTCGTGGAAATGGAGGTATTTTTAAACATTTACGAAAATAAAATCATTAAAATGATGGCTAATGTTATTAATTTCTTTATTCGAATAAATAACCAAATGAGATTAGTGTCTGTCATGTCATTTAAGTAAAAGTGTTTCAGTTCGTTTTTTAAGTTTTATTTTGAAAATCAGACTTTTTTCAAAAAAACATAAAAAGTAGTACCTAATTTGTAGAAAATTGAAAAGACGAATCCGCAAATATCATGATTATTATCGTAAAACAGTGGCGTACTGTTTTATTTAGAAAAATATGCCACCGATACCTACCCTGTATTTCCACAACTGGAAAATGCCTCAGATTTTGAAGAATGTTTAAATACATACTTGTGCGCAGTTTCAAATTATTTCAATTACTAGTTTTTAATATACTGTATCTTTTTACCGAAGATAGATAGATAAAAACTTTATACGAAATACTCACGGGGTTTCATTTTTTGGTCACCGTTTGTGAATCACCCTGTGTCTTAATTTATATCAAATAAAAAACTCTCAAATAGTCTTGAAGAACTACTCGATTTTTCAAGTACCTGAAATATAACGGTTTAGTATTCTACTACCCTAACATGAAATTTTTGAAAGCCTTGAGCTAGAAAATCAAATCAGACCAAGAATCTCCAATCTAACATAAAATCCAGGTGTTTAAGTACAATTATATAATTTTTATAGTTAACAATTTTTTTTTGTTTTCAATAATTAATCTGTGTGTGAAGTTCCAACTACAGAGAAACACACTTTACACCAAATGTTGTGGTGTCTATGAAAGTTCTAGTCAGATCTGCACTATTTAAACTAACCATTACTTATAATATTCTTAAAACCACCACCGTATTCAGTTGTTTTAATTTAATAGACCATTTCAAAATTGGATGAAGATATTGTAATAAACTAATAAAGAAAAAATAACAAAAACGCGAATCTCATTTAAATAGTTAATACAATAAATCAGTTGTACATCATTTTATTGCATTATAATTAATCGAGTTCGAAACTAATGTTAAATAAAAAGAATTTACTACAAAACAACTATTTTAAGAGGAGGGTTTGTTATTTTTCTGGTTTTACGATAATCATTGTAAACAAATTAAAAATATACAGATATTTCTTGGCGA